CATAGCTGGGGGGAAGGAGACAGTATGCTCTCCTGCTTGACTGAGGCAGCGCAAAGTCAATTATTATTAGTTTAAATTTTCTTATTGGTTAAAATTCTCATCAATCTGATCTTTCATATGCAGAGATCAATATGAAGCAATATCCAAGAATTGTTTCTTTTATAACCTCATATTAATACTTGAATATTTCAAGAACAGGCAGCTTTAAAAAGGGTTTCTTCCTTGGAGTGTATAGGCAGTACACACTCAAGTAAATACACATTTTAGGATATATCTGCATAGCTTGTGGTAAGAAATTATGTTAAATCATGTTTTTCTTCACAAATATAAAATCTTTCTCTTGCTGTCTTTGTGCTTTACCTAAAGTACTGTTAAAGAATGCCAATATTTTACTAATTCACATGAGCAGAGCTCCCCCTGTAAATATACATACACATGTAAAATTCTTTTAGGTTTATTCTTTTTCTCCTAAACTCTTCAGTTTTTAATGCATGAAAGCCAAATCTGTTTTTCATTCATTTTTTTCAGCTACCATTTATTGATAAGAAATAAGCAAGAAAGAGCCAGGTAATAAGTTCAACAGTAAAATAGGGTTTTTAAGAAGCACTGAATTAAAAGAGCAAATTGCAAAAAAGATATTTATAAATCTGATGCCATTCTTATAAATTCTTTATCAAAGGAGTTATATCTACTGTTTCATTCCTCTGAATAAAAATCTGAAGCAGAAATGGAAAAATGTTAACATTTTAAATCTGGATGTCTGGGTGTCTATATTTGGGTGTTGTACTTTTTCTACATTTGTACATTTGAAATATTTTATATTAAGCATTTTTAATTTTTAAATTAATAAAACCAACTATATAATAGAAAATGACAGAGGCTACCTTAGGATGGTTGATCAGGTAGGATCTCTCTGGGAAGGTGGCATACTGAGACCTGTATAAAAGCAAGGAGGTAATGCAAAAAATGTAGGGAATTATGACAAACAGCTGTTGCTAGTCCTGAGGCAGAAGCAAACATGACATATTCAAGGAAAGAAGAACATTATAGCATATCTAGTGGAAAACCATGTTACACCATGGAGGTAAGTAATTACACAGCATTCCTGATAAATGGTCATTTAGTCTCTGAATACTTATGTTGAAGGAAGGTCATCATTTTCAGACTTATTCCTAAACTGAATTTTTTTTTTCCATTTAGGGTTTACAGACTAATGGGGTCATATCAATAGGATATGGAAGCTGGCTTGAAGGTTTTCTCAGTGGCCAAGTAGGGGAAAGTTTAAGCACCAATAGGAACCATAAATTCAACTGAATTATTACAATATTCAAAAATCCTAATTTCTCAGTGATCTTCAGAGAGGGAAAGGAAAAAGCTCTTCTTTATAGAATGTCAGATAAAGTGGAAGGAATGATAGAATTAGAAAATTACTGTTTTGCAAATTCCAATATAAGCATTGCTTCAGGCAAGGATAATCCATGGATGCTAAAATCTTTGGATGAAAGATTGTTGGAGAGTAGGATATTCATATAGTCCCAGTATGTCACTCCATGATTACTTACTACCTACAAGAGAAGGAATGTGCCTTTAAAATGGAAAGATCTGACCGTTACTGCCTTAAGTAATCAAATTTGGTACTACATTCCTCCTTTATGTAATGCAATAAGAGGTACTCAACATCACATAAATATCTCTCCAGAAATGTTAAACTGGGATCTAATAATGGGGAAACAATTAGAAAACTCCAGGATATGGAACATTTCAGTGTCATGGAAACAAAAGATTGGAGAGGTCCTCTGTGCCAAGGTATTTAGGAATGAAGTGTTAGTTTGTCTGCAATTAACTTTCAAATAATTGATTAAAAAATAATGTATGCGAGAATTAGGCTTGGGGTTGATTAATGATTGTGCATTGAGTCCCCTATACAGAATTTTATTGTTGTTAACAACCATTTGATCGATAAATATGAGAGATGCCCTCTCAAAAAAATAAATAAATAAATAAATCTAGTGGAGTAATTTAAAAAATAATACTAATAATGTATGTGTATGTGTGTTTATGGAGGTAGAGAGAAAGCAAGTAAGATAACAATTGGTAAGCCTAAGAGGTAGAAGGCTGTGTGTGTGTGTGTGTATTGTATTACTCTTTCAACTTTCTGGTAAGTTTTTATGTATTTAGAATTAGAAGTTAGAACACGTATTCCTTTTTTGAACCCATATCCAACTTGTTAATATTTTTGCCCATTGTTTTACTTGTGCTGTTTGGAGCCAGACTGGTAAATCCAAACTCTTCCTAATATGGTGTTAGTGGTATTGGTAGTGGTAATACTGGGAATTTTTACATAGCATCTGTTGAATGTGTAGTATGATATGCCAGATGTGCTGAACACATTATTTCAGTTAATCCTTTTAGCAGCTCTTGAGTTAGTACTCATTTCTCCTTTTATAGATGAAAAGACACATGTTTAAAAAGCTATCACTAAAGCAATAATAAAAAACATTTCACCTTAAGAATGAAAATGTGAATTTGTGAAGTAAGCTAGAATATTCAATGGTAAAAGCAAGATAGAAAATTTTCTGATAAAGTCTCTAGGCATGCACATTTTTCTGGCCTTTTACCTACAATTTTCCATGGAGAGGCAATCTAGTGTGGTAGTTTAAGAGCAAGGTCCCTGAAGCCAGAATGCCTGAGTCAGATTCCAGCTCCACCATTTATAAGCTGCTACTGCCTGAGAAACACTTCTCCAGAATTCCATACTGGGAACCCCCATTGTATTAGTTTCCTATTGCTGCTGTGACAAATTGATACAAACTTGGTGGCTTGAGACAACACACATTTATTATCTTAGAGTTCTGGAAGTCAGAAGTCCAAAATGGATTTCACTGGGTGAAATCAAAGGTATTAGCAGGGCTGTATTTCCTTAGGCTCTGAAGAAGAATGATCTTGCCTTTTACAGTTTTCTTACAGGCCACCGCCTTATTGACTGCCTTTGCCCAAGCTAGCAGTGCATCTATCTGTGCTGTTCTTCCATAGTAACATCTTCCTCTGACTCTCATCTTCTGCCTTCTCCTTCTTTTTAAGAATACTGGTGATTACACTGGGCTTCCCTAGGTAATCCAGAATAATCTCTCCATTGTAAGACCAACTGATTAGCCATCTTAATTCCACTTAGAACCTCAATTCTCTTTGCCATACAACCTAACAAAGTCACAGGTTCCAGAGATTAAGGCATGAATATCTTTGGGGGACTGTATTTCTGCCTACACATCTATGTTTATTTTCTAAAATTGTATATGGCAGCTGGGGCCAGTAGAAGATGAATCAGTCCTGGCTAATGCTGAGGACTACAAGTAAGACTAATAATTGGGTTTGAGTTAAATGTCACTACTGAGCAGTGTATGTAGATGTTCTTAAATTCTCTTACTGGCATAAAGTATATGTAGTAGATTTGGTATTGAATTAGGAGGCAACTAAGTTTTAGTTAACATTGTGGTAGGGAAATGATTAAAATATTAGAGTAGGTTTTATTTCTATTGTGCCAGCCCTGAAAGGGAAATGTCCTTGATTTAATTATAAATTTTACAGAATCTCTGGTAATCAAAACAGTATGTTACTGGCACAAAGACAAATAGGTCAATGGAACAGAATTAGAGAGTCCAGAAATATCAATAAATGGTGTTGTGAAAACTGGGCAGCTACATGCAAAAAAATGAAACTGGATCACTGTCTTATACCATACACAGAAGTAAATCTGTAGTGGATTAAAGACCTAAATTAAGTCCTAAAACCATGAAACTCCTTAAAGAAAACATATAGTAAACTCTTAAAGACATCAGCATTAGTAATTCTTTTCTAGATATGTCTCCCTGTGCAAGGTAAACAATAAAAAATGACCAAGTGGGATGAATTAAAAAGTTTCTTCACAGCAAAGTAAGCCATCCACAAAATGAAAAGGCATCCTACTGAATGGGATAAAAAATTTGCATATGGTATAGCCAATAAGGGGCTAATATCTAATACATATAAAGAACACGTACAACTCAGTATCATAAAAAAGACAAATAATCCAATTAAAAATGGGCAGAGGACCTGAAGAGACATTTTTTCCAAAGAAGATGGCTAGCAGGCCAACATCACTAGTCATCAAGGAAATGCAAATCAAAACCACAATGAGATATCACTTCACACCAACCAGAATTGGCTAGTATCAAGAAGAAATAACAAGTGTTAGCAAGGATGTGAAGAAAAGGGAACCCTTGTCCATTGTTGCTGGGAATGTAAATTGGTGCAGTCTCTATGGAAAACAGTATGGAGGTTTCTCAAAAAATTAAAAATAGAAATACCATATGACCCAGTTATTCCACTTGTGGGAGTTTATCCGAAGAAAAATCATTAATTCAAAAAGATATATGCACTCTTTGGCATATTGTAGCATTATTTACAATAGCCAAAATATGAAAACAACCCAAGGGTCCATTATTAGATAAAATAGATAAGGGTGATGTGCTATGTATATTCAATGGAATATTACTCAGCCATAAAAAAGAGTGAATTCTTGCCACTTGTGACAACATGGATGGACCTACAGGGCATTATGCCAAGTGAAAAAAGTCACAAATACCATATGATTTCACTTATGGAACC